TCTGGGGATAGTAAAGACACATATCCCTTAGGTCTTATTAGGGGAGGCAACTTTCTTCCTTGTGGTGTTAGAATTTATGTACACGCCACAGCACAACGTAAGTGATAGCTACAGAACAACTTTGAGGAGTTGGTTCTTCCTACCCACTGTCTTGCGTGTTCCTGGGATTGAATTCTCCCCACCAAATTGCACGGCAAGAGTCTTTACCCATGGAACGTCTCACTAGCCTGACCCTGAACTTCTGATCGATCTGCCTCTACTTCCCAAGTGCTGGGGTCACAGGCATGTCCCCACCACCACCCCGTTTATATGGTGCCACAGACAGGACCCAAGACTTCATGTGTGGATGGTCAAGCACTCTACCAACTGAACTAAATGCCCAGCTCCAGATTTTCTTTAATGAGTTGTCACTCCTTTTTGTGAAATAGGCTCTACAAAGGGAAGTAAAAGGAAAACTCCATTCAATTTCTAGCATCTTTGAAGGAGATAAAGAAAACCTGGTTCCCCTGTGTGAACAGAACAAAGGGAAAGCTGGATCTTTACTGCCCCCTATTGACAGGCCTGTGGTTTCCAATTTCCAGCCTGGCCTGCCCAGCCACTCATTGGTCACTTGACTGCCTCCTGCAGCATCAACATGGACTCAACTTTTGTCCAGTGGGGCAGTCACAGGTCTGGTAATACTAAGAACAGCCACAGAGTGACAGCACCAGGCTATTAATGTTCCCATCACTGGCCTACCAGGGCTGGCCAAAGCTCTGCTTAGCTGTTGTTTCAGAACCTGTCCTTTCATCCTTTCTCAGGTGGTACACAGATGCTCCTAAACTCCCCCCCCCCATCAGATATGTTCGGAAACAACTCCAACAATCCCCTTAGGCACTGATGGCATTTCTTCCCTTCCAGGCCACCATGTGCCCCTCTTCCCAGGGTGCCCACTCCATAGCTGGCATCTCCACATGGTGCCATCCATCAGACCTCTGGGGAGATGATTCCTGAGACAACAGGAGAGGCGCCTTCCTCATTTAGAGACAGATTCACGCTCAATCAAATAGATGGTGGCTGTGCTTTCTTTGCTCACTTGGGTTAGCCGTCTGCTTCTTCCAGCCAGCCCTCTGCTCTCACTCCCTTTAAAATCTCCCCCAGAGACATCCTGAGTGCTAGCTGTTGCCCCAGCAACATCTTGAGACAGATATTGGGGTTCAACCTGAAGATCAGGGAAGCAAAGCAGCTGGGCTACCAGAAAGCTCTTACCTCTAACAGGAGGGGGATTCCCATTCTTAGCGTGGCTGGAGAATGAATCCCTGGTACTGACTACTTAATACCCTGCTCCTGTCTTTTATACCCTCTCGTGCTGGGATCAAAGGCTCGTGATCCCAGGTGCTGATCATCTTTGTGTGATCTGTTTCTCTTTAGGACTGAATCAATCTTGTGTAGATCTGGGTAGCCTTGGACTCACAGAGACCCGTCTTCCTCTCAATCCTGAGTCCTAGGATTGAAGGTATGTACCACCACCTCCTAACTTTTGGCTGCTGGGATTAAAGGTATGTGCCTGGCTTCTGTGGCTTGTGGCTGACTTTGCTTTCTAAATTGTCAGGCAAGCAAGCTTTAATAAATTATAAATATCACCTCAGGTAACATATACCACAGTCCTTTTGGAAGGATGTTTTGTATAATGCATGGAGACTTACTTCACCCAAGGTCATTTGTCGTTCCTACCATTGACTCCATAATGCAGGGGCAGTCACCGTAGCATTTAAACTTGTGAGCAAGAACAATACCTATACCCAGCAATAGGAAAACTTGAGTCAGCTTTTGCTATAGCTTCACTTGGTGGGTACATAATTGCACAGCTACTAAAAACAGTGATGAAGGGGGTTAGAGAGATGCCTCAGTGGTTAAGAGCCATATTTTCCAGAGAACATGAGTTCAGTTCTCAGCACCCAAAATCAGGTGGCTCCCAATCACCTGAGACTCCAGTCCCAGGGGATCTGGCACCCTCTTCTGGCCTCAGTGGGTACCAGCACATTGTATACATACAAACAAATATTAAGACAAACAAACAAAAACAATAATGAGGGCTTGAAAATGGCACAGTATATAAAGGTACCTACTTGCCAACCTTAATGACCAGCATTAGTCCCTGGGACCCATAAGATAGGAGAGAACCAATTCCCAGAAGTTGTCCTCTGAACTCCACATGCACTGCACACACACACACCCAAAATCAGTCAGTCAGTCAGTCAATCAATCAATCAATCATTTCTAGAAAGTATTAGAAACACAGGCTGGAAAGAGGGTTAGTGCTCAGTGGTTAACAGCACCAGCTGCTCTTCCAGAGGACATGAGTCTGAGACCCAGCACCCACACAGCAGCTCAAAACCATCCACAACTCCAGTTCCAGAGGAATCTGACACCCTCCTCTGGCCTCTATGTAACACCAGGCAAGCACATGGTATAGATTACACACAGACAAAACACCCACACACAATTATGATAAAATAATTTTGTTTTTCCAGATGAGGTTTCTCTGTATAGCACTGGCTGTCCTGGAACTCAATGTGTAGACCAAGCTGGCCTCGAACTCACAGAGAACCACCTGCCTCTGCCTCCTGAGTGCGGTGATTAAAGGCCTATGCCATAAAAATCATTTTGCCTGGCAAAATTATTTTTTAAACAACTATAGAAAAAAAGCATGCATGAAAACAATGATAAAGTCCATCTTAGTAGCACAAGCCTAAAATCCTACTATAATCCTAGCTACTCATGGGGCTGAGGCAGGAGGGCCAAAAAGTAAGCACATCCTGGCGACCTATTAGGACTCTCTCATTAAAAAATAAAGGGAGGGCTGGGAATGTAACTCAGTGACTGTCTAGCATGTGTGAGGCTCTGGGTTCCATCTCAGCAACTTCCTTGCCCCAGAAAAATGCCAACCACCATATGGTTATGATGAAAAATAATCTATAAAAATAATATAAAAGAATAGCCATAAACTCTTTAAGACTCACACAGAAAGCTAGGCAGGGTGGCACATGCCTTCCATCCCAGCTGTTGAGAGGGCACAGTGAGGACAACAAAATGTTGCCAGCATCTGCACTGGAGCATTGGGGTGTAGGTGACCAGCATCTGCACTGGAGCATTGGGGGTGTAGACCAGCATCTGCACTGGAGCATTAGGGGTGTAGGTGACCAGCATCTGCACTGGAGCATTGGGGGTGTAGACCAGCATCTGCACTGGAGCATTGGGGTGTAGGTGACCAGCATCTGCACTGGAGCACTGGGGGTGTAGGTGACCAGCATCTGCACTGGAGCATTGGGGTGTAGGTGACCAGCATCTGCACTGGAGCACTGGGGTGTAGGTGACCAGCATCTGCACTGGAGCACTGGGGGTGTAGGTGACCAGCATCTGCACTGGAGCACTGGGGTGTAGGTGACCAGCATCTGCACTGGAGCATTGGGGTGTAGGTGACCAGCATCTGCACTGGAGCACTGGGGTGTAGGTGACCAGCATCTGCACTGGAGCATTGGGGTGTAGGTGACCAGCATCTGCACTGGAGCATTGGGGGTGTAGGTGACCAGCATCTGCACTGGAGCATTGGGGTGTAGGTGACCAGCATCTGCACTGGAGCACTGGGGGTGTAGGTGACCAGCATCTGCACTGGAGCATTGGGGGTGTAGGTGACCAGCATCTGCACTGGAGCATTGGGGTGTAGACCAGCATCTGCACTGGAGCACTGGGGGTGTAGACCAGCATCTGCACTGGAGCACTGGGGGTGTAGGTGACCAGCATCTGCACTGGAGCACTGGGGGTGTAGGTGACCAGCATCTGCACTGGAGCATTGGGGGTGTAGGTGACCAGCATCTGCACTGGAGCACTGGGGGTGTAGACCAGCATCTGCACTGGAGCATTGGGGGTGTAGGTGACCAGCATCTGCACTGGAGCACTGGGGGTGTAGGTGACCAGCATCTGCACTGGAGCACTGGGGGTGTAGACCAGCATCTGCACTGGAGCATTGGGGGTGTAGGTGACCAGCATCTGCACTGGAGCACTGGGGGTGTAGGTGACCAGCATCTGCACTGGAGCATTGGGGGTGTAAGTGACCAGCATCTGCACTGGAGCATTGGGGGTGTAGGTGACCAGCATCTGCACTGGAGCATTGGGGTGTAGGTGACCAGCATCTGCACTGGAGCACTGGGGGTGTAGGTGACCAGCATCTGCACTGGAGCACTGGGGGTGTAGACCAGCATCTGCACTGGAGCACTGGGGGTGTAGGTGACCAGCATCTGCACTGGAGCACTGGGGGTGTAGGTGACCAGCATCTGCACTGGAGCACTGGGGGTGTAGACCAGCATCTGCACTGGAGCACTGGGGGTGTAGGTGACCAGCATCTGCACTGGAGCATTGGGGTGTAGGTGACCAGCATCTGCACTGGAGCACTGGGGGTGTAGGTGACCAGCATCTGCACTGGAGCACTGGGGGTGTAGACCAGCATCTGCACTGGAGCATCGGGGGTGTAGGTGACCAGCATCTGCACTGGAGCACTGGGGGTGTAGACCAGCATCTGCACTGGAGCATCGGGGGTGTAGGTGACCAGCATCTGCACTGGAGCACTGGGGGTGTAGACCAGCATCTGCACTGGAGCATCGGGGGTGTAGGTGACCAGCATCTGCACTGGAGCATTGGGGGTGTAGGTGATCAGCATCTGCACTGGAGCACTGGGAGTGTGGGTGACCTTTTCTCATTCCTGCCCAGTTTCTTCACCATGTAAATATCTCTGAATGTGTGTGTTAGCGATTTAGACCCTAGAGATGCTGCAGCCTCGTGCAAGCATGATAAAAAGACTCTGGGAACCTGTGTCTCAGGAGTCTAGCACTCAGTAAAACACAGCTTCTGGCTGTGTTCACAGTCTTGGGAAGTCCAGTCACTACTGATGTCATACCCCCAAATGCCTGCAGTAACTCTTCAGAGAACCCAGACCCCATCCAGAAAACAGAGAATTCCATCAATATGTCTTAGGTGCCACTTTAATTGAGGTTCTCACTACATGTGAGGAAGGGTGGAAGACAGGGATTGTTTCCAGGCATATGCCTTCTGCCCCAAGGTAAACAGCCCGAGCTCCCCACAACAAAAAGGTGCTTTCCTTCCCGAGAATCCACTCCTGAGCCTAGAAAGGGACAAATGTGCCAGCCAACAGGAAAAACACTTCAAGGGAGACTTCTGATTTCTGTCCAGTGCAAAAACTACAACAACAAACCCTAACCATTCAAAGTTGAGGCCAAGCCCCTCCCCGGGGAGCCTGAGAGCAGTGTTCATTCCCCAGGGCTCCTCCCTGCAATGCTCTCAGGTAAGATCAGAAGCCCGCAGTCATGGAGACAGCCCATCCAACAGAAGCAGCCTTCCTCTTCATTGGCCCCTGCTGCTGCAGCTGTACAGCCATAATGGACCAGCCAGTATGTTTGTGGCTGTGGGATGCAGAAGGGGCCGGAATGAGCAGCAAAGCAAATCAGATGTATGTTCTGAAGCTGGGTCGACATGGTGACTGGGCATGTCAGAGCCCTGTGGACCACAGGGACCTGTGCCCTCCATTAATTCTTCTCTGGACGGTTTCTGTTCAGGACTGCTTTTGGGGCAAATTCCAGTTTGTCCTTAAGGCTCACCACCTGCGTGTGGTCCTTGCCTAGCAGCTCGTCCAGCTTTCGGTCCTCTCGACGCTCCAGGATGCTCTTTTCCTCCTCCACAGGCTGAGGATCCTTTCCCCTGATGAACCATTCCAGGTGGTAGCCCACAGCCCCGACCACAAAGGCCACAGGAAAGGTGACGTAGGGAGCATAGGTACGCACCACGGTCCACAGCACAGGCCACATGACATCTGTAGAAGAAAAGAGTACGTTAGGGAGAGCGAGTTAGGGAGAAACGAGCATCCCCATGGGGGGCACTCTACTTACCAGGCAGCCTGGCACTGGGAATTGAGTGTCTGCCCCTCAGAGCAGCAAGCAGCCACTGTGTTTTGTGGAACAGTTGGGTCCCTGAAATATTCTAAGAAATTGTGAAAGATTCGACGGTTAAGGAAGTGGGTACAATCTCCATGAACGACAGTACTCTTGTGAGCAGATGCTCTCCACAAGGAATCTCCAAGTGTCACCGAATGGAGCTTCAAACCTGGGGTGACCTCAAGCCCTCTTCCCCCCACCCCTAGTCTTTCAACATTTCAGGAAGGGAAAAGATGTCTTTGCTCTGTGAAACTACATATTCACACACACAGTTCCACTCTGGATTCCGACTCTTTGATAATGAGTTCCTTTTCCTTGAGTAAAGTACAAGGGGCTTATTTAAACCAAAAACAATGATCCATTACCTAACTACCCTGGACTAAAGATTGATAAAGGTTTTAAGCCCATTCTGGACTGAGCTTTTCTAACAATGACAGTAACCTACAGTTAACAAATTCCAGCCAAAACACCCTCAAAATATACCTCTGTCAACCACACTCACACCCTCACGCTTGCACAGTAAGCTCCCAGAAACACTACAAGTGAATACAGTACTCCAGATGCCCTAGAACCCTAATAGTTGGAAAGTCCCTGTGGAAAACGCTGTAAAATAAAAATAACAAAAAATCATGGAGCTGCCTCCTAGGGCCTTCTGCAATGAAATACCAAAGTAATATACAAACCCACTCACTCAAATGGCCACTTAGTCACAAGTGATTACCACTATTAAACTGCTACTTATACCATTATTTAATTATCATTACAATCATTAAAGGCTACTGGCAATGAACTGATGCTAGCTACCATCGACTGAGAACTTATTCCAAGCTGGCCTTGGGCTAAACTCTTCTCTCTCTCTCTCTCTCTCTCTCTCTCTCTCTCTCTCTCTCCCCTCTCTCTCTCTCTCTCTCTCTCTCTCTCTCACACACACACACACACACACACACACACACACACACACACACACGAGAATCTGTAACCCTCACATTCACTCCTTAGTCATCAGCATGAAGTCACTTATGTTAAGTATTTCTCCAGCACCGCTGTCTCTCTGCTCTGGGGTGAGACATCCAAGCCTCGTGGAGGATTAGACGGCTCTCCCTTTCTCCCTTTGGTTCTAGTTCTCTTTTGAGAGAGCCGAGTGTCTTATGGGCCTGAGTCTATCCATGAACTACCAGGGATGAAGAACTGTAGCAGACTCAGGCTTCTCTTCCCAGTCCCTTGACTTGACACCAGGCCTTCTGCTCCCGGTAGCTCTCTGGTCATCACCTGATCCTCACAATACCTCTATGATGTAGGAATTACTTGCCCGGATTCCTGTCCCAGGCCACAGTGGCTCAAAGACATTATGCCAAAATCACTACAAGCAGCAGGTGCACTGAATTTTAAGGCCAAGCCTGGGCTTTTTCCAGTAGAACACTCTGCAGATGTGTGCATGGTATCTGTTTAAACCACAGACATAGATAGGAAGTGCCTCCTGCAGCTCCTCATTAGCTTAGCTTTCCATTACATTGAATGACTTCCTTTCTTGTGTGCTCTAAGGTTATACCATGAGATTTGCAAAATCCTACAATGCACACATTAAGGAAGAGGGAAGCCCAGAAGAACACCAAACCCAATACTTCTCCATCTATTTTCTATCTTTTTATGATGTTTAAGACAGGTTCTCATGTCACCCAGCCTGGCCTCAAACCCTTAATTTAGTTGAGGATGGCTTTGAACTGCCGATCCTCCTGTTTCCACTTCCCAAGGGCTTATGATTACAGGTGCATACCAGGTGCAATTTCTTCACACTATTCCTAAGTAGCGACTCTCCATTCAATTTTCCAATTTGCCTTAAGTATCAGTCTACAATTACTATTCTCTTACATGTAAAACACAGGTTCTGTATGGTCTTATTCATAGTCCAGTCATCCACGTATCCAATACAACTATTTTCAAGTGACAGGCATTGTGTGGGCTTACCCTACTTGTTGGTATCTCTCAAAACACCTTGAAGCTCCGGGAGGTTAAGGACCAAGGTTGTCCGCATCCTCCTATGCTCTATGCCTCTTACCCACCCGCGATATCCTCCCTGGCAAAGAGCTCCAAAAACGGTTTGTTGATTGAATGCATGATTGGCAGCATAAACAAGTCGCTAATGTAAGACTTACAGCCATCTCCCACCCACAATCACAAAGGGGCAGGAATACAATCACAAGCAGCTAGACGTCATGAAGTCATCCCTAGGAGATCAAAATGTAAGTAGAGTGTATCGCAAATACCGACGCCTGTTTCCAACCCAGCATGCAAGGGAGCCTGCCAGAGACCAGGCACAGGTCAACTGGGCCACCCGGAAACCCGTGCTTGTGCCAGATCCCACCGGAAGTTACACTTCAATTTCATGAACAGACAGAAGAGGTCCGACAAGAATCACCTTTGACAGCCCCAGTCAAGTCTGGGAATGAGAGCGCCAGCGGCCAGGGTCATCAGCTCCCGGTCCCCTGTCCAGTTACACACGTGCTCTGGTAATCCTCCGGCCTGCAGGTGCCTGACGCGGACAAGTTCTCACTGCAGCCAACACTCGGCCACCGAGAGCTAGCGGGAGCCGGGACGGTTCCGGAGACCATCCCTCCCTCAACTAGGACACGGCCAGGAACCCGACCCCGTGGGACTCGTGGCCGGCGATCCAGGGAAGGGAAGTGCCCTCGGCCCTAGGAACTCACCTGCGGCCCAGCCCGCAAGCCCCGGACCGGCTCCGCGATGCGCCCGCTAGCCGGGAGCAACACGGACGTCGCCGCTCCCAGTGACCCGCAGGGCATCGCCCTAGGCCCCGCCCACTGGTGTCCGGGCGCTCTCGGAGAGCAGCGATTGGCTGAGCTCCGACAAGCAACAAGAGGAAGGAAGCCAGGCATCCGCCTTTCTGTTGGGATGAAGGGAAATGACTATAGCACCCCCTGGTGGCTAGGAGGCTCCCCAAGAGACGTTGCCTCGTGCTTTCTCTAGTGGAGAGAAGTGAAAGAAAAGTCATGCATTCATTGAACCAACTGAAGTTCCATTAGCCATCGTCTGAGACCTAGGTCGGGTATTACTGAAACAGAAAACCCTGAAGCTCCCCTTACCAAAGAATAATCTAGTCCTTTGAAACTTCTTCGGGTCTGTGCTTTCAGGCTGCGTGTATTTGGGAACGCTATTAATTCATACGTGCGAGCATCATTCCTTCCTTATAGCATTAACACCACCCATTTTCACAGGGATGTTGTGAGGGTTCGATAATATCACGTATGTCAAGTACTGTGCCAGGCACACTGCGATCAGAGAAATAGCTAGTAGCTATTATGGTGAGTCTGAAAGCTATCTGAATGATAGTGAAACAAGCATTTGTACAAGAGCCTCTGACACAGGCACCTGCTATCCTCCGTGCTGTTTTCCTGAATAGATGTATATTTACCACATACAGGAAAAAGTCTCACGCTCAAGCTTTTTAATGCCCCAACATGGTCCTGCTTTCCCAGCCGCGAGGCACTGACCTCAACCTGACAAGCCTCCTTACCATTAGCAACACATACTATAAAAATCAACTTTCTGAGCCTGTGCCTTTCCATGTTCTTTCATCTACCGAGAATGGTTCACTCCCTTCCTCTGAACAAGTTAGCTGTGGGTCATGTTCCAAGGTCATGAAGTCTTTCGAAGGAAGTTTCCTGACTGCTTTGTCAACTTAAAGATTCTTCCTATTTTATATCAAAGACCCCAAAGCTAAGCCTGAGAGTGAAGATGGGGAGAAAGAAGCTGCCAGAAATTATCAACCATAATTAGAGGAATTTGATTACTTATGCACTGAATATATAGAGACAAGACAAGGTCAGAATTTGGCGTTCAGTCACTCATTCTACGTGCTAAACACTGGAGATATACAATAGACTGCTCGCAGGGGTCTTCAGGCTGAAGAGGAAGCAGGTAGTCCCACAGGATCTAAAAATCTAAGAAATGTCATAACAGAGGACACCATCAGCCATACAGAGAGTCGGTGGACATTCCCTGGAAGGACAGACAGATCTTCAAGCCGTTTCTTAGCAGTGAGTAGAAGCTCCCTCCAGCAGAACTGGAGTGAGAAAGAAGTTCCAACTTAAGATGAAATCATAGCACTTGGGAGGTCATGAGATTCAAAACCAACCTTGGCTATGTACCAAGAGTCTATATCAATTGGGGCGGGGCAGCTAAGCATAGTGGCGCACACCTTCAATCCTAGCACTCCAGAGGCAGAAGCAGGTGGATCTCTGTGAATTTGAAGACAACCTGGTCTACTTAGTACTTTCATATCTGCCAGAACTCCATAGTGAGACCTTGTTTTAAAAAATAAATAAATAAATAAAAACTTAAAAATTAAAAGAAACCAAACTTCTAAATTAGTCCTGGATTCAAATCCCAACTCTGTGGCTTACTAATCTGAAAAAAAAGATACTTATAACCTTTGACCAAGGGTTTTATTGTGTGTGTGGGGGTTGTGCACATGAGCACAGGCTCCAGTGGGGTCAGAAGAAGGTGTCAGATCCCCCTGGAGCTGAAGTTACAGGAGATTGTGAGCTGTCAGACATGGGTGCTGGGAACCAAACTTGGATCATCCAAGAGTGGTATGCTCTCTAACCACTGAACCATCTCCACAGCCCTATTGGTATTTTTTTTTAAGACAATCAGAAGATACCCTTGGGCTGGCCAGATGGCTCAGCAGATAAAGGCACCAAGATGACCACCTGAGTTTAATCCTCATGATCTATGTGTTAGAAGACCAACTCCTAAAAGTCATCCTCTGACCTCCCTATGGGGGTTGTGGCATGTGGCATCACACACACACACACACACACACACACACAGCAATAAAAAAATTTAAGACATCCTCTAGGGCTGCTGTTTTAAGCCATCTTAATGTGCAGAAATTGCAATAGCTCTCGACATCTTGATAAGAGTTGGTAATGCTTCTTGATATGTTAAGTATTCCCCAGATTCATGTTGCTTTCTGTGATGTTCATTCTGGCATTATTTGTTTATTAACAGAAAAATCTGTGTA